CTGGGTTTCGAAGAGGTAGAGGAACTAGAGATCAAATTGCCAACACTTGCTGGATTATGGAGAAAGCAAGAGAGTACTAGAAAAAGATCTACTTTTGCTTCATTGACCACGCTAAAGCCTTTGATTGTGTGGATCACAACAAATTATGGTAAGTCCTTAAAGAGATGGGAGTACGAGACCACCTCACATGTCTCTTGAGAAACCTGTATAAGGGTCAAGAAGCAACAGTTAGAACCGGATATGGAACAACTGATTGGTTTAGCATAGGAAAAGGAGTACAACAAGGATGTATATTGTCCCCTTGCTTATTTAATTTATATGCAGAGTACATCATACAAAATGCCAGCCTGGATGATTCAGAAGCCAGAATTGATTGCTGGGAAAAACATCAACAACCTCAGATATGCAGACGATACCACTCTAATGGCAGAATGTGAAGAGGATCTAAAGAGCCTCTTGCTCAGGATAAAAGAGGAGAGCACAAAGGTTGGCTTGAAGCTCAACATCAAAAAAACTAAGATCATGGCATCCGGCCCCATCACTCCTTGGCAAATAGAAGGAGAAGTCGTGGAAGCAGTGACAGACTTCACGTTCCAGGGATCCAAGATCAATGCAGATAGTGATTGCAGCCATGAAATTAAAAGACACCTGCTCCTTGGCAGGAAAGCGATGGCAAACCTTGACAGCATAAAAATAGAGGCATCACCCTGCCAACAAAAGTCCGTATGGTCAAAGGAATGGTATTCCCAGTAGTACTGTACGGCTGCGAGAGTTGGACTGTAAGGAAGGCTGAGCGCCGAAGAATAGATTCTTTTGAACTATGGTGCTGGAGAAGACTCTTGAGAGTCCCCTGGACTGCAAGAAGATCAAATTAGTCAATCCTAAAAGAAATTAATCCTGACTGTTCCCTGGAAGGCCAGATACTGAAGCTGAAGCTCAAATACTTTGGCCACCAAATGAGAAGGGAGCACTCACTGGAGAAGACCCTAATGCTGGGAAAGACTGAAGGTCAAAGAAGAAGAGGATGGCAAAGGATGAGATGGTTAGACAGTGTTATCAAGGCAACAGACATGAAATTAAGTAAACTCTGGAACACGACGGAAGACAGGAGGGCCTGGAGTGGTGTGGTCCATGGGGTTGTGAAGACTGAACTGTGCGACTGAACAACAATCTCACAAACAGAGCTGCTTATTCTTGTTACCAGAGTTGCTAGAACTCAAAACGTTCTGTAGAATTTAGCATCTGGAGAACTGGCCAAGAGAAGAGATACAAGGGAAACAACACCCTAGCATCTGGTGCCGATGTGAACTTGCATTTACACAAAGAGTAAAAATGCCACCACATCCTCCTCTGGCATATGGAGGTGGCGGCTGAAACAACTTGATTTTTTAAACCATTTCTAAAATCACCCCCCCACACACATACACAAAACAGGTGTCCCAAATGGGGAATCTCCTGGGGGGCCAAGGTGTTTCCTCTAAATTTTTATGCATTGATTGTATTAAAGTAGATACATCCTGCCTTTTGGCATGCATGTGCCCCTAAGGCAGCCTACACTATATAACAATAAACCCTATTGTGATGAATGGCTAACCACCATAGCCTCCCAGGGCTAGGGAACTCTGCAGAGAAGAAAAGCCAGTTTACCTGCGCAGAGAGGCACTCTGTTCTATCACACACAAGAATTGTTTGAGATTGTCCTGGTCCAAAATCCAAAACCAAACCACAATCCACATTAATACCTTTTATTAAAACCACCCACAATGCCAGTTTTTTCTCAGATTAAGCTCCCTTCCTAACACACTTCATGCACTGGATGGAGTGAGCTCTGTCTGAAGACCAAAGCTTATGCGGGAGCGCATTTTGTTTGCTTTGTGGTATTAGTAAAGGTAAAGGTTTTCCATTGCTCGAAAGCGAGTCGAATCTGACTCTAGGGATGCAGTGCTCATCTCTGTTTCCAAGCTGAAGAGCCAGCGCTGTCCAAAGACACTTCCGTGGTCATGTGGCCGGCATGACTAGACGCCGAGGCGCACGGAGTGCTGTTACCTTCCCACTGAAGCAGTACCTATTTATCTACTTGCAATTTCTTGCTTTCGAAGTGCTAGGTTGGTTACTGGCCTCCTATTCAATGGTGCTGTTACAGAGTATGGTAGCAATCCTGAACAGTACCTGAAGAAGTGAGCCGTGACTCACAAAAGCTCCTACCCTGCCACAAATGTTATTTATTTATTTGATTGATATCCTGCCCTTTCCACAAGCGGGCTCAGGGTGGCTTACAAGATCACACAGAATATTGTGACAGTAAAACGGCACATAAAATTAAGCTATTAAATTTTAAGATTTAAAAAGTTCAAAATTTCATATAAAAAACCCAGAGTAGAAGTTGCCTCAGTAGCGCTGCTCAGATGTAGTAAAGGTCCTTCTGGGCGGTGTTGTGAGGTATCAAGCCACTAACTACTAGCCTAGGGCTGTCAGCAGGGGAGGCCAAGGATGGGAATTTGGACGCCTGCTACCTCAACAAAAAGCCTTTAAGGTGCTACTGGACTCTTGCTCTTTTCTGTTGCTACAGACAGACTAACCGGGCAACCCATCTCCATCTTAATCCTAAACAGGTCGATTTGGAAGTGAGTCCTATTTTATTCCAGGGGGCTTACCCAGGAAAGTGTTCTTAGGACTTCAGCCTGACTCAGCTTCCCCTTTAGATTTCCCCCTACCCCAGCAATACCACCCTGAGCAGAGTTACTCATCCCCTGCACATTAAAGTCAATGGACGTCTAAAAGTTTAATTCTACTTCGGATAGATCCAGGTGGGCAGAATAAAACTCTGTTGGTCTTCAAAGTGAACCCAAATTTTGTTCTGCTTCGGGCTGTACTGCAAGGGACTGAGAAAAAGGCCGGCCTCCAGTTCCCCCTTTCCGAAAGGCACCCGAAGAGCGGATAGCCAGCCCTTCCTCCCGGCTAGCTTCAAACCGGTTCCTACTTCTGCCTCTGCCCTTCCCAGGAGCCCACGCACGCTGGCGAAAGGAGGGGCCGGCGCCACGCAGACTAGCAGCACCGCGACTCGCCGTGGAGGCTGGAGACGCTTCCCGGCACATCCTGGTCCGACTCGGAATTAAGCTAATTCCGCCCAAAGACTCTTTTTCCTCTCTAGCCCGGGCGCGGATTGCCGCTCTCTCTCCCGCTGGCTCGCGGTGGGATGCCGCTGGGAGTCGCTCTTCAGGCCCTACCGGAAAGTTTAGCAACAACGCGTCGCTCCGGGCGCACCCGCAGGAGGGAGCTACAAGGGCTGGCGGGCGGGCGAGGGCCCCGCTAGCCGGTCATTCCCCCTCCCACCGGCTCCTCGCCCCGTCCCGGCCGCAGCCCCTCACCTGCTGCCGCCGCCCAAGCGCACGCCGTCTGGAGAGCCGAGAGCCGCTTTGCCTCGCCTATAAGCCCGAGAGACCCGCCCTGCGAAGGGCGGCCGCCAGGAGGAGAAAGAGGTGGCGAAACGCCCCTGCTCGCAGCCCCCGGGCTCGGATTTCAGCTCGATGGGAGTGGGAGTGGGGCGGCGGCGGCGGCTGAGACAGGGAAGTTAGCGAGCTAAGGTGGGAGGAGAGAAGGGCCGGAACAGACCGGGCGACCAAATCCGGGCGAGTGCTGGCTGGCAGGCGCAGGACTGCTAGTGGCGTCCGCTCTGCATCAGGTTCTCAGGAACGCTTTGGTCGAGATTTCCCCATTTTCTTGACATGTTGTTGGCTTGGAAATAAACCTCACTGGTTTCCGTGTAAATATGCTTAAATCTGACTTCGGATTTGCTGTCATTTGCCTCCAAGGGCAGTTCTTCAGAATCACACTAGAGGCCATTCTGGCTCCCCCAGCTCTCGGGAGGGGCTCTTAAAAAAGTTATGGGCGCCATAGCTGTTCTCCAGCTGCAGCTGCGATGCCTGCGGGGGGG